CGTAAATCTTTCTATAAATAAGTTTGTTTTCAACTTTTTTTTAATCGCTGTCAAGTCATAAATATATAACCCATCACACATTTGGAGATGATACCGACTCTTAGAGGCAGGTGTGATATTTGATGTCTGGCCCTCCTCTTTAAAGACCATACACACACACACACACACACACACACACACACACACACACACACACACACACACACACACACACACAGCCCCAATCGCGTAAACTTTCCACTGGTCTATCTTGCTGATGCATTCAGGGACATTGCAATAAAACAAACAAAAACCGAGTGGCTTTTTCCCCCTCAAAACTAAGCAGAATCGGTTTCATAGTTTATTCAGGTAAAATAGTCAAATATGGAGGTGATGTCTCATTAAGCCCACAGATGGGATATGAAGAAATACATATATACATTCTGACAGCACACGACAGCCTCCTGTTTGTACGCTTGCTTTAAAACTGCTTTTTGTAATTCATCGGAAATGAAGTCGACTACAAAATAAAGAGCTATTGGAACTCATTATTCAGTAAAGTCAATAGACGAAATAAAAATAGAGATACTAAAATGTGACGACAGATGGACATTTGAGAGGAGGGGGAAATAACTTTTTGAGACTTTTGAGCCTCTATAAGGAGGCTCATTACCATGCCACCCCTCTTCCCTCTCCTCCTCCCGGACACCCGTCCTTACTCCTGGCAACAGCAGACAAAGCGGGCCGATTTTACTGCTCTCCGTCGGGGCGGGCAGCCCCTTTGATCTGAGCCCGTTAAAAAGAAGTGAATCGAGGGGGAAGTTCGAACAAGACAAAGCCTGGAGGAAGGTAAAGTCACCTAGATTTCTTTAAAAAAAAAGCTTACCTTTAAAAATAATAAAATCTGACCATAATTTAACTTTTGAGGGCATCATTCCTAATTTGCTCTGAAGGCAAAGGCAAGCTCTAACCCGTCCAAAGGTTAGATCTCACCAGCCTGACATCTGTTAATAAACTGCACTATCTTCTTTCACTAAATGCAGATGACATTAAACGGACACACCCCGGACATCCAAAAGAACCAAGAGGGCCTTCAGAGGCCTGCGCGGCTTTGGGGGCTTCAGCTCAATAGATACAGTTAAATCCCGCCCATCATCGTCAGGATGGGTCTTTAGCAGGTGGATAGAAACTAGAACAATATTTATACCCGTGAGGAGAATGAAGCGTCGTCATTATTCGGCTTGCATTGGGAAGAAAAAAAGGGTCATGAAAATTATATAATTTATGGAATAGTTTTAGACACACTGCATTTTTTAAAAGAAAAGATTTATGGCACAATTTAAAAGTGAGAGGAGACTTGGGGTTTGATATCTCTCCTGATTTCCTCCCACGCCGTCCCATCCTCTCGGACTTCACTCGG